GTTTGCCTGATAGGTTTTGTAAACACCTGCAGGCAGTTCTAGCAGAGCAGAGCATGCGCTGCAGGGCACCGAACACAGGCACGCATCAGCGCCTAAAAACCTCCTCACAATGGCGAAGAGAGGACCCGGATTCGGTTTTCCTGATTGATAGGACTTGTAAGAGCCTGTGGCAACTCTAGCAAGTACAGCAGAGTGTGTGCTGCGGGACACCGAAGACAGGCGCGTATCAACGCCAAAAAATAAAAAGAAAGGGGGATCTGTGGGGAGCAATCCGGACTAGACTAAGTTGCTCGAATTAGGACTTATTCTATGCATCTGCTCTCCCACAATATGGCGCTGGGAGAGAAGTAAACAGCTTCCGCACAGCTGCCTCCAGTTCAACCAATTAACTGTAGGACTTGCTCCTGATTGGAGAGCAGCGTACTCAGCCGAGTTGGGATTGGCGGAGGAGGACTATAAAGGAGGAGAGAGACGGCATGCACCAGGAACATCTATGGGGAACATCTAAGGGAACCCGTGCAGCCCCCGAGAAAGCCGGCCGGCGGTGTGCCGCTCCCCTGCGGAAGTGGGGAATGTGGCCAGGGGGGACTGCCCTTCCACGGAGGTGGAAGGGATAGTAGCCAACCCGGGAAGAACCAGCAGCAAACCCGGGGAGGGCCGAGCAGACGAAAGAACAGCGCAGGGTCCTGTGTCGTTCCTCCACGAAGAGGGGGAGCGACAAGAAGGTTCTTTGACAATCAAGATTCCAAAATTAGAATTATTTGAAAAACAGTCCATTATGAACATACTGTGGCTCAATTCTACTGCATACTGTGAATATGCACTTAAGCAGGAAAAGTATTTCAAACTAATGAGTTAGGCTCTTCTGAATCTCAATTTGATCAAACAGGAAAACACTTCAGATAATCAGATTTTTTCTTGCCACAGTGTTTCCATTTTCCCTTATAGTTAATTTTGCTTCTCTGAGCCTGCAGGAACAGCTTGTGCCTATGTTGCTTGGTAAACTCGAATGTGTACATGAACAGTTAGGATGGCAATGGGATCAACAGGATATTCAGTTTACAAGTGAGTTACACAGTCAGCTTTTTTTCTGGTTGTGGTTTAAAAATGAAAACAAAAACATTTAGGCAGGGCTAATGCGGGGCACAAACTAAAAAAAGAGAGCCTTACAGGATATAGCTGGAAGGAAAAGAAAGTGACCTGACCTTCTGAAGATGATAGAGGTCTGTCTTCTGAAGTCCCTTTGGCTGTGACCCAGAACTATCTTCTTCCTCTTTGGCATCTGCTTTTAATACAAAACCAATATATAGCCATTAGAGTAAATCTAAGTCATGAGACCAGACATTTGTACTAATTCAAAGGAAGTAAAAGTTTCACTTTTTTTATTAATGTGGCAAGGGATCAACTATCCTTCAGTTAAATGATTTCTTCCAGAAGCTGAAGGTCAATAAATAGTAAATAATTTATGCTGTAGTGAGGGCTTCACAAAACCAGCTACTGAATTTTAGAACTGTTACCAAAATGAAAACAAAACAAAATATAACCAAATAAAAAACCCTCAAAGCAACAGCAAAAAGCCTCAAATATTTGTGCTGTTATAAACAGCTTTTTTTAAAAAAAATCATACACACTTAAATTGCTTTCCTTTGATAATGCCAAGACTGTAAATGACACACTACACCCTGGCAGCCTTGGTCTGAAGCAACACTTTTGAGCATAATGAGTATAATGTGCAAAAGTTTTGCACTAATCTATGAAAATATAAAGTGGATCATGGTTCCTTTAGCTAGGGGGACAGAAAACCGTAACTAGGAAAATGTAGCTGTGCTGCTTCTAGACAGCATAAAGCTCTGACATCCTCCAAATTCAGGGTTGCTTTTGGGAACCTGACGATCACATGGTTTGGCCTAAATCTAAGACCTCCTGTGTTAGATGCAGCTGGAGAATACGCATTGTTCTCAAAGAAGAAAATTCTTTTTGGCTAAGGATAATTTCTTGTTCAAAGAAAGTGAGATTAAAAAATCTACTTAATTCTTTGTCCCATTTCATTAACATAAAGCAGAGCCTTAAAAATAAATCTGATACTCACTCTGCCTTACTTAATCTTCCCCCATTGTCATTTTAAACCCAAATTGTGGGGCTGGTGCTATGGCACAGTAGCTTAAGCCACTGTCTGCAGCTCAGGTATCCCATATGGGCACCGGTTCAAGTACCAGCTGCTGTACTTCTGATCCAGCTCCCTGCTATTGTGCCTGGGAAAGCAGCAGAGCATAGCTCGAGCCCTTGCAACCATAAGGAAGATCTGAAAGAAACTCCTGTTCCTGGCTTTGGCCTGGCTGAGCTCTGGACATTGAGGCCATTTGGGGAGTGAACCAGCGAATGAAAGATCTCTCTCTTCCTTTCTGTAATTCTGACTTATAAATCCACATGAACCCAATTTTGTAAAAGATTGAAATTTACCTAATTTATCTTTTCTAAGTCTCTTGTACTGTTTATGTTCAGTAATCACAATTAGGGGGCATTTTAAATTATGCATCAGCAAGGAAAAAAAACAGTGAGTTGGTGAACATAGGTGGGCTCTAGTCTAGAATCTGTCAGTAGCTGCTGTGTGATCTCAATCAAGTTACTTTCTCTCCTTGGACTTTACTTTCTGGTTATAGCTGGACTCACTGACACCAACCTCTGGACCTTTACAGTTTTTATGTTCTGAAAAGTGGTCCAGGTTTTACTGTAGTGGCAAAAAAGCAATGACCACAAATAACCTGAAAGGGACCCGCGAGGTGCCTGTGAGAACGTCTTCATTCTGACTGCTCATGCCAATCATTTGCCAGCCAGGCAGATGTTCTCTCTCATCTTCCATGTGTGAGATCGCATCAACGATGGAGAGCTATGGAGAGTCTACAAAAGCAGCTTCCTGGGGCCAGCACTGTGATACAGTGGGTAAAGCTGCCGCCTGCAGTGCTGACATCCCTTACCTGCACTGGTTCATGTCTGAACTGCTCCACTTCCAATCTAGCTCATTGCTACAGACCTGGAAAAAGCAGTGGAGGATGGCCCCAGTGTTTGGGCCCCTGTCACCCACATGGGAGACCCAGATGAAGTTCCTGGCTCCTTGTTTCAGCCTGGGTTAGCGATGGCCATTGTGGCCATCTGGGGAATGAACCAGTAGATGGAAGATCTGTCTCTCTAACTCTGATTTTCAAAATAGATAGATAAATCCATTTAAAAAGGTTAGGGGGCAGTTTCCTAAATCCAAAGGAATTTGAAGACAAAGGAATACTTGAAATATACAGAAAGGACTCAAATGGCCATTACAAATAAGTTATTTTCACCATGCCATATCCAATTCTATGTGCTTATATACCAAGCTGTTGCTTTTTGCAACCTCCATTAAAATTTTTCCTAAATCGGGGTTAGCACAGTGGGATGGTGGGTACAGCTGCTGCCTGCAATGCAGGCGCTCCATATGAGCACGAGTTTGAGTCCCAGCTGTTCCACTTCCAATCCAGCTTCCTGCTGATGGCCTGGGGAAGCAGCAGAAGATGGCCCTGGTACTTGGGCCCCTGCCACCCATGTGGGAAACCCAGAAGTTCTAGGATCCAGGCTGTAGCCTGGCACAGCTCAGGTCACTGTGGCCATCTGGAGGAGTGAACCAGCAAATGGGAATTTTCTCCCTCTCTCTGTTTCTCTTCTGTCTCTGTAGCTGTGACTTTCCAATAAATAAGTGCTTTTAAAAAATTTCCCTAAATAGAGGAAAACAATGAATTTTTTCTGTGCTATGAAAAGAAACAGAACAAGAGAAGAGCCCATGAAAAGTTAATGATCACTATCAGAACATGGTACGCTTTAAGGACAAAGAACTTGTGGAGCATTAGGGAACAGAACATGGTATCCTATATGTAGTCAGGCACCTCCAGCATTCAGCAAATGTATGTGGAGGTCATGCAAAATAAAGGAAAGGAACTCCCCAACACTGAAGAATGCTAGTCTGCCTTAGCTCACTTAGGACTTTAGAGTCAAGCTTTTGTAAATCAGATTAAAGCATGCTTCATGCATATTTTGGTAATCAGCATACCAATGAACCTCATTGCTGTGAAAGCAGTTCATAGCTATTAATTTTTCAGGCTTACAAATGATTTATGCAGTGTTTCTGAAATCTCTAAAGAACCTGATGAAATGCTTCAGAAAAAAAACATCCAAAGGAGTATGTAATTAGAATGCCCAGCTACTGTCTTTAATCTTCTTTTTTTTGTTGTTGTAGCTTTTTCTTAGGTAAGTCCTCCAACTGCCCACAATACGGGGACATTTTTTTTTTTCTGCTCATCTGATGCCCTGCATTGTTTAACCCAAATCTACAAGAGGAACATTTGGCCTCTTTGTGATTGTTAAGATGACTGATCAGGAACTACTTTATCTCTTCATCTCACAGCACATCAGAACATGGGGTTTTCCATGTCATTTTAGTTCAATGACTGTCAAAGCCAGCAGAGGTGGCAGGTTATTATATTCTCACCATCAAGGCTCTGAAACTGGGCCAGGAACTCCTCTATTTTCTTTGCTGTGCTGCCAAGCTGCTTTTCAGAAGAGGACTTAAAAACACTGGAACATTTCTGAAGTATGGTCATCAGTTCATCCTTTGCCAACATCCTAGAACAGAATGAGAGAAAGGAGATGTAATATAACTGGAAAATTAACATTCTTAAAATATTATCTATAAGTTAAATAAATGATTCTGCTCAAAGATGGGGCAAATTCTTCATTAACAGCTACCAACTCTTTGGGGAGAGATTCTCCTCAGCGTATGTGACATTCAGAAGATTTCTTCAACAGTTCTCATAATGAAGCTTAGCTCAGAAAATTGACAAAAGATCTGGGTTCATAGCCTGGCTCTGATACTTAACCATGTTTGTAACACTGAACAAGTTTATTATACATGTCTGATTCTTGGTTTCCTTGCCTATAAATGGAGATTAAAAACTCATGTATTTTGCAAGTTAAATGGAGATGTAAAAATTAAATGAGAAGATGCAGTAGAAGAATCCAGCGCAGAACTTAGCACCTAGTAAGTATTTAATGTTTGTTCCTCTTTCCTTCTGATGTAAACATGCATATGCGACAAGGTCTAATGAGGACATGACACTTATGCTAAATACAAACTGATTCAAAAGGACCAAAAATATAAGTATCACAATCATTTCTTTAATTATTACTACTTAAACCTATGCTTTACATTTCCTGTTGGCTGCATAGCATGTCAGTAAAGTCATGGAACTTTAAACTCAGGAGGCAATTTTGCTTGTTATTATAGCATAGGCAGAGTGGTTGAGTTATGCATTCAAGGCCATAGAGAAAATCTTTGATAGAAATGGAGGGAGAACACAGATATTCGAAAATTACCATCCTATTCTCAGAGCCATGACATATAGGATAGCCCCACTAAGATCACACTTGGTAACACATCAGATGCAATCAGGTCAGTATTTAAAAGCACTAAGTGGTAGCATTTCACAGGTATACAAACTATTCCCAACAAAAGGAACTAAATCAATTAAGACTATAATGACTGGGGCGGGCACTGCAGCATAGCAGGTAAAGCTGCTGCCTGAAGCACCAGCATCCCATATGGGCGCAGGTCTGAGTCCCAGCTGCTCCACTTCCCACCAGCTCTCTGCTATGGCCTGGGAAAGCAGAAGATGGCCCAAGCCCTTGGCCCTCTGCACCCGCATGGGAGACTCAGAAGCTCCTGGCTTCTGACTTCGGATAGGCCCAGCTCTGGTCATTGTGGCCATTTAGGGAGTGAACAACAAGTGAATGGAAGACTTCTCTCTCTCTCTCGCTGCCTCTGCCTCTGTTTCTCTGTAACTCTTTCAAGTAAAATAAATAAATGTTAAAAAAAAATTGAGTACCTTTTTTTTTTTTTTTCGACAGGCAGAGTGGACAGTGAGAGAGAGAGACAGAGAGAAAGGTCTTCCCTTGCCGTTGGTTCACCCTCCAATGGCTGCCACGGCCAGCGCACCGCGCTGATCTGAAGGCAGGAGCCAGGTGCTTATCCTGGTCTCCCACGGGGTGCAGGGCCCAAGCACTTGGACCATCCTCCACTGCACTCCCTGGCCACAGCAGAGAGCTGGCCTGGAAGAGGGGCAACCGGGACAGAATCCGGTGCCTCGACCGGGACTAGAACCTGGTGTGCCGGCGCCGCTAGGCGGAGGATTAGGAGTACATTTCATAAAATGTGCTATGTATCTTTGATCACTGTCAGTCATATATTAAAAAAAAAAAGACTATAATGACTACAAGTTCTAATGCTAAACCATAAAGGCATAAACCATCAAATGCAGAATATGGAGCATTCTGCAGGACTGACTTATGTATGACAAACATTTTTCAATAATAAAAAAATTTAGAAAAATTATTATTATTACTAAGTGGGAAAAAGACACAAAGCTGGAGACCAGCATTGTTGCAGAGTGTGTTAAGCCACACCTGTGACGCTGGAATCTCATATGGGGGCCAGTTTAAGTCCGGCTGCTCCATTTCTGAGCCAGCTCCCTGCTAACATGCCTGGGAAAGCAGCAGAAGATGGCCCAAGTGTTTGGGCTCCTGAATCCATGTGGGAGACCCAGAAGAGGGAGGCTCCCAGTTCCGGCAGGCCTAGCCCTGGCTATTGTGGACATCTGGGGAGTGAACCAGCAGACAGATCTTTCTCGTCTCTGTCTCTCCCGCTCTCTTTGTCACTCTGCCTTTACACACACACACACACTCACAGCTAAATAGACTATGACTACTAATAAATTAAACTGGTTACTTTGACAAAAATCTAAACCCCCCCTAAGAAACAAAAGAAAACAAAAATACAGAAACTCATTCAGTTATACTAAATTTTACCCATTTTAAAAAGTAAAAAGGTGCTCTTCCTCTTTCTACAATAATTATTTAAAGTGTAATCTTTACCTGAGAATGAATAGCACTTAATATGTCAAAAACTAAGAGAAGTCAGACACACTTGAACAACCAGTTGTACCTGACCTTTAGCTCTTTTCACACAATCAGTATTTCCAGTGTTCAAGAAATCACAGGCACTGGCTTGTGTGGAGGAGAGAAGAGGCAGGGCTAATTTGGCTGGAGGCCTGACATTAGCAGCACACTGATCATTAGCTCCCCAGACCACAGGCAGTCACATTGTGCATATATTTTGAGCTCAAAATAACTGAATAAAAAGGAAGGCCAAGCTTAGACTATCATTCAACTTCAGTGTGCCAAAAAAGAAATAAATAAAATAAATGGCACCATGTCTCATAATTTTGAAACCAAACCTTAATAGGCATAACTTTTAATGTGATATTTAATTGAAAGGGTTAGCAATTTCACTTCATATAAAAACTTCCAGGGAGTCAGTCATTTACTTCTCTTATTCTTAGACAAAGACTACATGCTTATAGTCTACAGAGTAATAAATGAAATGATTTTACTTTTTTCCACAAACTCTCTGGTTTCATGTAGAACAGTAAGTCTTAAGATAAGGCTAATTAGAAATCATTTAACCAGGGGCCACCGTTGAGCAGCGGGTTAAGCCATCTATGATGTCAGCATCCCATGAGTGCCAGTTTGAATACTGACTGCTCCACTTTGCATTCAGGTCCTAGAGATGTGCCTTGGAAAGCAGCAGATGACCCAGTCCCAGCCTTTGCAGCCATTTGGGGAGTGAATCAGGGGATGGAAGATCTCTAACCACTCCAACAATGTAATTAATCCAATTTTTTTCCAGTAAAATTACACACATACAGAATCATCAAAGATTCCTGCTTTTATAATTATTATTCAATATCATAGAATCTAATCACTGTAATAAAATAAGAGGCAGACAGTATAAACATAGAGGAGACAAAATTTACTATTTGCATGATTGTGTAATGTTAGAAAATCTAAGAAGTGTAGCCGGAGCCGCAGCTCACTAGGCTAATCCTCCGTCTTGCGGCACCGGCACACCGGGTTCTAGTCCCGGTCGGGGCGCCGGATTCTGTCCCGGTTGCCCCTCTTCCAGGCCAGCTCTCTGCTGTGGCCAGGGAGTGCAGTGGAGGATGGTCCAAGTGCTTGGGCCCTGCACCCCATGGGAGACCAGGATAGGTACCTGGCTCCTGCCATTGGATCAGCGTGGTGCGCCGGCCGCAGCGTGTCAGCCGTGGCGGCCATTGGAGGGTGAACCAACAGCAAAAAGGAAGACCTTTCTCTCTGTCTCTCTCTCTCACTGTCCACTCTGCCTGTCAAAAAAAAAAAAAAAATCTAAGAAGTGTAATAAGATATGTGAATATAAAAAATATTCAATTTATATGTAAGCAACATATATTAAACTATAATGAAAAAAGTATGTTCAAAAATGGCAAAAAAAAGCTATAGAATATATAGCCATACACTTAAATATGTAAGACACAAAAAAACTGCGATTCTGAATAAGTGAATTGATATGTTAAATTCAAACATTCAAATTATAAAGACACAAATCATTTCAGATTAACCTATACTTTTAACACTGTTTGAAACAAAATTTCAGTGGCCATATTATCAAATCCAATACAAGTATTCTAAGTTTATCTAGAATAGTAATTGTTTCTGAGAAAGACAAATATGTATGTACTTGACTGTATGCAACAGGGCTGTTATAATAACAAAAGGTATAAGATACAGTGATTAAAATCAGACAGTACTTAGATAGGAACAGACAGATCAATATAAGAAAATAAAAACCTAGAAAGAAGAAATCACTTTAAAATCTAAATTTACTTGTGTGACCCCTCCAATGGCTCTCCCCTTAATTCTAATATTTTTCTATAACATTTATCAATTTTTTAAAAAATATTTATTTATTTATTTGAAAGTCAGAGTTACACAGAGAGAGAGAGGAGAGGCAGAGAGAAAGAGTCTTCCATCCACTGGGTCACTCCCCAAATGGCTACAATGGCTGGAGCTGTGCTGATCAGAAGCAAGGAGCCAAGAGCTTCCTCCCAGTCTCCTATGTGGGTGCAGGGGCCCAAGGACTTGGGCCATCTTCTACTGCTTTCCGGCAGAGTGCCGGATCTGAAGTGGAGCAGCTGGGTCTCGAACCGGTGCCCATATGGGATGCTGGCACTTCAGGCCAGGGTGTTAACCCACTGTGCCACAGTGCCAGCCCCAACATTTATCAATTTTTAACATATATTGTGTTTCAAGAAGTTTGCAGAAAAATGGAATTCAAAGGGAGTTTGGCAAATGACAGAGATAGAGTTTCAAATCTGTGGGAAAAAGGTATTATAAAAAAATGTCACCACCTTACATCATACACAGAAATATATTTAAGGTAGAATAAAAATGTAAGGATAATGTCATGCAGGGGAAAGAACTAATCCATTAATCATAAAATCCTAGAAGAAAACAAAGAAAGATGGTTAAGCCTGATAACTTCCAACATCAGCAAGAGGGTAAGGAAACACAATGGTAGGTTGTTAGTGCAAATGTACCTAAGTACAACAGTGTTTATATTTTAGACTCAGAAAATCTTCACTTATGTATTTTGTGAATTATATAAATGTACAAATACACACACTATTACTCTTTGTAACAGTGAAGAATTAGAAACAACTTATATATGTGTCAATTAAATAAAATGTTGATAC